CTTAGCTTATGACCATAGTTTTAATATCAAATAGTGATGTGACTGAAGTAACAGAGACTTAGTGGGATAGTTCACATAACCTAAGTAGTATCATGGATGTGTATAAACTGTTCAGGAAGAAAAGTCAGGGGAGCACAGGGGGAGGAGCTGTGTTTTATGTAAATGAGCTCTATGATTGCTCAGAGCTCCAGTATGAAACTGGAGATGGTCCTGTTAAAAATCTCTGGGTTAGGGTCGGAGGGAAGAGCAACACAGGTGATGTCATGGTGGGGGTCTGCTATCACCAGAAGGATGCAGTGGATGAGGCTTTCTTCAGACAGCTAGCAGAAGTTTCCCAATCACAGGCCCTGTTCTCATGGGGGACTTCAATCACTTTGACACCTGCTGTGAGAGCAATACAGCAGTGTGTAGGCAATCCAGGAAGCTTTTGGAGAGTGTTGGGGACAATTTCCTGCTGTAAGTGTTAAGCCAGCTATGGTCCGTGTGCTTCTTGAACTGCTACTTACAAAAAGGGAAGAATTGATGGGGAATGTAGTAGTGGATGGCAACTTGGGCAGCAGCGAACACAAGATGATTGAGTTCTGGATCCTGAGGGAAGGAAAGAAGAATATCAGCAGAGTAAGGACCCTGGACTTCATAAAAGCAGACTTCGACTCAATCAGGGAACTGATGGGCAGGATCCCCTAGGGGGCCAGTCTGAGTGGGAGAGGAGTCCAGGAGAGCTGGTTGTATTTTAAAGAAACCTTACTAAGGACACAGGAACAAACCATCCCAATGCACAGGAAGACTAGCAAGTATGGCACAAGACCAGCTTGGCTTATTAGAGAACTCTTCAGTGAGCTAAAACACAAAAAGAAAGCTTACAAGAAATGGAAACTTGGACAAGTGACTAGGGAGGAGTAGAAGAATGTTGCTCAGGCATGTATTTCATAATCAGGAAGGCCAAAGCACAATTGGACTTGTAGCTAGCAGAAGCAAACTTCCTCAGGCCCAGAACACACCAAATGGATCCAGACCATGCAATGACAAGAAATGCAAAACCTGCCAACACATCTCCACCACCCCCAAAATTACTGCACCCCACAACAGAGCCATCAGCATTCCTGGATCTTACAGCTGCTCCTCCAGAAATGTTATATATTTCATCCAATGCACCAAATGCCCAGGTGAAAAATACATAGGTGAGACCAAACAACAACTGCACACCAGAATGAACGCACACAGGAAATCTATTAAAGACAGGAATACCCAGTTACCTGTGGGGGCACATTTCTCACAAGAAAACCACTGTCTCTTCAATCTCTCAGTCCTGATCCTCAAAGGAAACTTACAAAACACTTCCCAGAGACGAGCCTATGAACTCCACTTCATCAACCTCTTGGATACTAAAAATCATGGACTAAATGTAGACATTTGATTTATGACACATTATAAGCTGCCTGACGGCTGACTTCCCAGGTACTTCTCCACTATTCATCCCCCTTCTCTCCCTACCACCCAGCCAGTCTCTCGCCCATTGACTCTTCAATCTACATTTTCACTGACTGCCTGTCTTGTATGCGTACCAGCACAGCCTCTGGCTTTTTTACTTTTCATTCCATCCAGGAAGAGCACACACCAACTGCTGAAACTTCCTTAACCTCACAAAGGGTTTTTGAACCCGAAAGCTTGCTTAAAAATTGTTCTCCAACTATTTAGTTGGTCTAATAAAAGATATCAGATTCACCCAAAGAACCTTGTTTACCTATTGACTTTAGCAAGGCTTTTGATATGGTCTTCCATAACATTCTCACCAGTAAGCTAAGAAAGTCTAGGTTGGATGAACAGACAGTAAGGTGGATAGAAAACTGGCTGGATCATGGGGCTCAAAGAGTACTAGTAATCAATGGCCCAATGTCTAGTTGGCAGCTGCTATCAAGTGGAGTGCCCCAGGGGTCAGACACTCGTTATCTTCATCAACAATGTGGAAGATGGGATGGAGTGCACCCTCAGCAAGTTTGGAGGACGTAGTGGATACACTGGAGGGTACAGCTAGGATTCAGAGAGACCTAGACAAATTGGAGGATTGGACCAAAAGAAATGTTACAGATTTCAATAAGGAGAAGTGCAAACCCTGCATTTAGGATGGAACAATCCCATGCAGTGGTACAGGCTGGGGACTGACTGGTGAAGAAACAGCTCTGAGGAAAAGGACCTGGGGGTTACAGTGGACAATAACTGTAAAGGAGCCAGCAGTGTGCCCTTGTTGTGAAGAAGGCTAATGGTATACTGGGCTGCATTATTAAAAGCATTGCCAACATCATTAAATAAGTGATTCTTCCCTCTATTTGGCACTGGTGAGGCCACATCTGGAGTACTGTGTCCACTACAGGAAGGATGTGGACAAGTTGGAGAGAGTCCAGCAGAAGGCAACAAAAATGGTTAGTGGGCTGGGGCATGTGAGGTCTGAGGAGAGGCTGAGGAAACTGGGCTGGGGGAACTGGCTTGAGAAGACTAAGGGGGGAATTTAATAGCAGCCTTCAACTACTTGATGGGGGGTTCAAAAGAGGAGCTAGATTGGTGTCAGTGGTGGCAGATGACAGAACAAGGAGCAATGATCTCAAGTTGCAGCAAGGGAAGTTTATGTTAGATATTAGGAAAATTTCTGTCATTAGTAGGATAGTAAAGCACTGGAACAGATAACTCAGAGGTGGTGGAACCTCTATCCCTGGAGGGTTTTAAGATCCAGGTAGACAAAGTTTTGGCTGGGATGATCTAGTTGGGGATGGTCCTGCTTTGAGCAGGGGCCTGGACTAGATGGCCTCCTGAAGTCCCTTCCAACCCCTCCTGTGCTATGTTTCTATGATTATACTAGTTAAACAAACTTCTTTTTATCAGCATTGTATGTTACAGTCAGTTTTTCTGCAGTAAACATAACTTCTGCTACTTAAGATAAACTCTTGTATCATATCCCTGAGCACTGAAATGCACTTACCAGAGTAGGACATCAAAAGCAGAATATTTAAACAGCTTGTATTAAACTGAACTTTTCATCCTCTCTGCTCCCCTTGCTTTCTCACTTCACTTTTAGTTTAATCATCAGGAGTGCCAGTGAGTAATATTAACAACAGTGATAACAGAACAGGTCAAGTGAAAAAGGTACCTTTCTTCCATGACTAGCATAACTTCCATCAACCAAATGCTTATCAGGCACAAATTATTTCTTTAAATAAACAGGGTGGATTTGGCTTTTTAAATCCTACAGTGATAGAACAAAAGAAAATAGGCCAAACTCAAATGCAGTTTTCATCCTTGTGGCTGAGGGCATATTTTACCAGTGGCTGTTCAGTGTCACAGGTCTGGAAGGAGCCTCATGCTCATTTAATAATTCTGATAGAAAACATGTGATGAGTATGCTCTTCACACACTGGACATTTACCTTGTGTTTATATCATTCTGAGTTTTCTTTAAGACTGGAAATATAGGTTTAAAAACATGAGGTGGAGACCTCTAAGAGGTTAAGTCCGTGAAGCAATGGTATACCAATTCTGTAGTCACAGCCAAAACTTCTCACTTTCCCACTTCTATGTCTTTTGTTTTTTACTGCACAAAAGACAGACAGGAATTGTTGCAGGAATTGAATCAAATGAAGCCAAGTTCTGTTATGTCAGTTCAACCCCACTTTCTTCAGATGAGAAGATCATTCGGATGACCAGTTTGTTCTAGGAACACTTTTATTTTGTGTAAAATCAGCTTCTGTAATTGTATGTTATAGTACATGTAATGAACTCTGTATGCAGTATGCAAAACTTTGCCTCATTTGGCTTTCCGGGATTTAGAAGGGTGTAACTGGAGGACTGACAAAGCCTATACAGAGTAGAGTTTAGGAACATTTTGGGAGTCCTCTCTCCATTGAAACAATAGACCAAATTAATCCCCACTGTAACTCTACTGAAGTCAGCAGAGAAGACTTCCATTACACATGATTCCTATGTCATTAAGATAAATGCCTAAAATGCTTATCAAGTACCATACATGCAAATTCCCCAGGTAAGTTAAATTCCCATATTTGTTAAAAAACGAAAACACACAAAAAACCCACCACCATAGTTAATACTCTCTTTATTCAAAAACTCAGTGCTTATAAAGTTGAGTAATGCTCTATATGTTTTACTCCCTCTCATTTGAAATACAGATAATTTAATAAGAGGTTTCTGCCAAGAAAAGAAACTCAAGACTGAAACACTTGGGGTAGGATTCAGATTATCTTCATAGGTACAGCAGTGCCAAACTTTAGAGTGCCTGTCTGATTAAAGAGATTCAAAATGACTCAGCTAGGCATCAAGCATCTAGGTGCTCTATGTAGAGAATGGACAGAGGTAAGTGCTTCCCCAAAGCACAGTTCAGAAAGCATAGAGGCACCTGGAAGTAGCAAATGAGAAATAGCAAGTCATGGGTATATGTTTGAACTGCCTTTCTCAAGATATCCTTAATGCATCTGTTTGCTTGTGATTCACAATGCCTAGACATACTTGTGAGATCTCTGTGTACTGAGTTTCTGAAGACAGGTGATTCAGACAAGAATTCTGGTGGTCCTCACATTTGGCCAATAGCCTGGGACATGGAACCTGGGCTCTAATCCCCTCCCTCCCTCCTCACCTCGAGGGAATTTTAATCCAGATAGCCCACTTCCTAGGAGAGCACCCTAACACCAGGCTGTAAGTGCATTCTCCACGGTTTTTTCCACCAGCACAATGTAAGAGCCTGACAAATGAAGAGCTGCAATCCACAAACAAAACACAACAGCAAACCAAAAAAGATAAAAACTGACCTTAGCTCTTCCAATAGACTTACAAGAAAAAACTTTTATTGAGCTATGGAAGCATTCTTCTCTCAACACCATTTGAATACTCTTATTTGTTGCACAAATGGAACAAATCTAATCATTGCATGTAGTCTGTTTTTGTGCGAACAGATGCAGAGAACTACTTACAAGTCATCTAAATATATTTATTTTCCAGGTCGAAGATTCACCCAGAAGATGTTTTTGAAGGTGGCCTTAACTGCATCTTTAATAAATCCTCAAATAATTTGCTTTGTGCGAAATATTATCTGTTGTTCATCCCTTTTGTAAAGCCTGAAAGAGATTTCCTCAAAAACAGACATCTGTTTGGCCAATTAATCTGTCGGCTGCCTGCAGATTTCCACACAGCACATTTTTGTTGCAGGCAAGATGAAAAAATGACAGCAGCCAAAGAGGTAGCAAGGCAACTTGTTGACCCTTTGCTTGGGTTTGGCAGCGATGGCATGCAATGATACTCCAGTAGACACTTATGTTCCATTCAGTGAGAGCACCCCACCCACAGGCTCCAATTACACAGCTTTGCCTACCCCACTCAGGATATTATTAGCAATATTAATGGTAATCATGATTGCTATTGGATTTTTAGGCAATGCCATCGTCTGTCTCATTGTCTACCAAAAACCAGCAATGCGCTCTGCCATCAATCTGCTGTTAGCAACTCTGGCCTTTTCTGATATCATGTTGTCCTTGTTCTGTATGCCTTTTACTGCAGTCACAATAGTTACAGTGAACTGGAACTTTGGGGCTCACTTCTGTCGAATATCAGCTATGTTGTATTGGCTATTTGTCTTGGAAGGAGTGGCCATACTCTTGATCATCAGTGTTGACCGTTTTTTAATCATCGTTCAACGGCAAGACAAGCTGAACCCTCACCGTGCCAAAGTCATGATTGCTATCTCCTGGTTACTATCCTTTTGCATTTCCTTTCCTTCTGTGGTTGGACGGTCGTTTGTGGAAGTTCCCACCCGAGCTCCCCAGTGTGTCCTGGGTTACACTGAATTTCCTGCTGACAGAGCATATGCTGTAATGCTAGTTGTGGCTGTTTTTTTCATCCCTTTCAGTATCATGCTGTACTCTTACCTTTGCATTCTAAACACTGTGCGGAGGAACGCTCTTAGGATCCACAACCATGCTGAGAGCCTTTGCTTGAGCCAGGTGAGCAAGCTAGGCCTTATGGGGCTACAGAAGCCTCATCAGATGAATGTGGATGTGAGCTTCAAAACAAGAGCCTTCACGACAATTCTCATCCTGTTCATTGGCTTTTCACTCTGTTGGCTTCCACACACAGTGTTTAGCCTGCTTTCTGTATTCAGCAGGCAGTTTTACTACAGCCCTTCTTTCTATGTCACCAGCACTTATATCCTGTGGCTAAGTTACCTCAAATCAGTATTTAACCCTGTCATCTACTGCTGGAGGATCAAGAAATTCCGTGAGGCCTGCATGGAGTTCATGCCTAAAACATTCAAGGTCCTCCCTAAAGTGCCTGGACGAACAAAGAGGAGAATACAACCAAGTACAATATATGTTTGTAGTGAGAACCAGTCAGCTGTTTAGGAAGAAGCAATGGGGTGGAGGAAGAATCAGGAAAGGTTTGATTAAAATAGACAATACATTGTTTCTACTGCTTATTTTCTGCTTACATTACACATCTCTGGAACAATTACTCATTCTAGATTTTGTTTTATGTGTAAAGATTGTACTTGTAACTTCACTCTGTTTACAAGCCATTCATTATAACTGCTTCATTTTAACCCACTTGATGCAATAGTGCCAATGTTAAAAAAAAATCACACTTATAACCAAAAATAGTTTGGCTGCTACTGTGTTGTCACTATGTGGAAGCCTGTACCATCCTGTTTCTTTATATAGAACTATAATTTTCTTCACAGTTCAATTGAAAAATAATACAACAGCAAGAACAAAAATAAAAGTCTCAAATCTCTAGAACAAATGCTGAATTCTGATCATTACTAAACAACAAAACCCAGCCAAGTAGCAGAATTAAGTTTCCTTTAATCTTTCTGTTAATTTTCAGTGCATAGAACAACAGGGACAAGGTAGAGATTCTTTAGGTGGGGTGGGGGGAACTGCAAATTTAGATCAAGACTGAAAATAGATGTCTCCTTTGTGCCACCATGAAAATGGTTATAGTGATACAAAACTTGAGTCTGTGCCCCTGGTAACACGACAAATGCTTAAAATTGTGAGTGCCACAATTTGTAGTAAGCTTGTACCACCTTTTCACAGTGGGCATATTTGCCTATGATGCACTTTCCAGCTGCTATGGGCAGGCAGGCACTCCCTGGACTCCAGGGGCTGATCCTGTGGGCAGTGACCCAAGACACCTGGCCCCAACCCAGGGCACATATCTGCAGATGTGCAGTGAGCAACCCCCTCAGCTTCTCCAGTCCACACCTACGTGGGAATTCCTGGGGCATGTGACTGTGGGCTCCCCTGCTCCACACTTGCAGACATGCCCTAACAACAATGATCTGCACTGACATCTGTCTCCTTGCATCTATCAGATCAGCTGTGCTAGGACACATCTTGGTACAGCTGATCCGGCCACTAAGACAACATCTGTTTGTAACCCAAGGCTGTTACAGATTGCAATATAATGTGTATGTGTACACATAGTATCACTTTCAGGAGTTGGTACAATGTGAGGTGCCAAAGAAGTCACCACTCGACAAGGGATTTTATACTGACATGCCATGTGGCATTCCATTTTTTTCAAATATAGCTATAGCTGTCAGATGCTTTCAAGGTTCTTTAGTATAGAGGTGGTAAGCCACATTAGTCTGGAGGCAGGCAGAAGGCAGGGTGCATCTGACAACGTATGCTGTTGCCTACAACAGCCCATGCCTCTTTGAACTAGTTAGTTTCTAAGGTACCACCCTGCCCTACTTTCTCCTGTTCCTTAGACCAGCAGTTTTCAGAGAGAAGTTAATTTTTCTGACTTTTCTGTCTCCTGCTTTCTAACAAATTCCTTGCAACGTTGGTCACACTTCCCAGCTGAGACTCCTAATAATGTAACATCAAGCTCAAAGGTTGGTGAAACCTCTGGTTTACTAGTGGGAAGCTGAGATGCAGAAAAAAAACAGTTATGTACTTGCCTGTAGTGAGATGGCAAGTCTATGGCAGAACACACATTGAGCTGCCCAACCATCGTGCCTCCCAGTCCTATGCAGAAGCAGTAGTCATTTTCTCCTTTGTTCCATTCCTCTTTGTTCTTCCACCTCTTGCTCACTCTTCTGCTTCTTTTTGTATTCATTCCTAGACCCATTCTCTTCCTGCACTGACCCTCTTCTCCACTCTCCACCACTTTCCATATTATCCCTCTGGTCCTGTCTCCCTCCCTGTTTCTCCCAGCTACTTCTTGCATTGCTCTCCACAATTATTTAGCTCACATGACTTGACTTTTGCCAACAGATGTCATTCTTATTGTCCTTGGTCCTCTCCCATGGGTCAAGGAGGTGATAGTGCTGATGTCCAGGGTATGTGCATAAGAAACATAAGAAACCAGTATGAAGCATCTAATGCTGGCTGGCTCACCTGGCTGCCACCTGCAATATGCTGCTCTGAGGGAGAGAGTTGGAGAAGTGGTAGGACAAGAGAAAGTCAGGCCTCCTCAGTGATAAGAGAAGAAAGATTTCTTTAATGAGCAGATACATGCTTGCCACTCCAGAGATGACCTTTATCTTATACCTTATGAGTTCACAGTTTAGAATGACTGGTTTGGTTAAGATTCAAATGCATTGCTCTGAAGCAAGCCCATCCACAGCTGCCTATCTCTACAGTCAGATCAGCATCACCTCATGATCAAAAGCTACTGAAAGATCAAAGAATCTCTACAAAAAACTTGCCCAGTATTTCTA